TACAGAAGAGATTTTTAAGCAGCCTTTTGAACAACCACATTCACATACCTCTAGTCAAAATCTCCTAGAAAACAGGGGAAAAGAGGGGAGAATGCTTTGGAATCTAAGAGAGAAAGGAAAACATTGCAGGAAATTTACCTGCAGGATAAAATCCTTTAAGAAAAACAATATAGCTGATGGTCACCTCCAGAAATTCCACCAGATGCGAGCCGTTTGTCCTTTGAAGAAGTAAAATCAAGATAAGATGATATTTGCAACTACAAAAACATGAACTTAGGCGGAGTAAGATCAGAATAAAGCTTTCACCTTGAGGATTGAGATTTCTTCGATCCAAATGCTTCTTTCGCACAAATAATGCTATTGAACCCCCACGCAACTCGAACAATAACAACTCGAAGCTCTTAGGTATTTTTACCTTGGCACGAGAGAGGAAGAGGAGTTTTGGGAGCGGGGGCTGCTGGTTTGATGGCCTTATTTGACATCCTATGTCATGTGATGTAGGTTGTATGAGCAAAACTATTAAGCTAGTAGCATCTTACGCATTGGCCTTATAAATGAATAATCCGTGCATTCTACCTTAATACAAATTGATAATAAAGAATCATAATCTAAGATTGATAGTGACATTACAAATTGGGATGACTAACTTTAGGTGGATCTATGTGAGGCCGATAATGCTATAGAACCACGGGTTGAGTTTTAACTTGAGGACCCTAAGAAAGTTGCTCTCTAACATTTTTGGGACTCTTTGATCTATACTTAAGGAAATGATGTTATTAGCCGTAGCATGATAGTGCTCTTAGTCCTATCTATATTTTGGATGCTATAAGTACAATGAGTCAACTTGTACTTAAGCCTTCTTCCTTTCTAATTGAAGAGAATGACTTATTGATGGTATTACTAGACTTATTCCTTATGTAGTCTTTTATTGACATGGCACTTAGAACTTTGAATATGGACTTTGTCTATAGTATATTTTACATTGCGTTAAGTAATGTCTGTTTTCATTATAATTAATCCTTCCCAACTAATTGTCCTCTCATCAATAATATTTTGATGCTCAAGTCATTACAGTCTATATTTCTTGGAATTCAAAGAACTTTATTTTCCATCCCATTATTGAATTTGCATATTCAGTCAAGTCTAGTAAATTTGCATCTTCATTTGCACAAATCATGTATGAGCTTCATTGGGAGATTAGGCCAGAGCTAGTCATCACATGATTAATGTAATTCTAATATTGATGTGTATAAATTATTTGTTAAATTTTTAGAGGAGATAAGGTGTTGATAAGAATGAAAACGGTTATTTTCTACTGAAACTCTTTGGAAGTTGAATCCAGACAAGCAAAACCTTATAAAATAATTAGGCATGTGAGTATGAATGCTTATAAATAAAGTTAATCTTCTAATTGATGTTAGGATCTCGATTGGGCTGTTGATCATGACTTTCTTTTAAAAAGCGGAATGCGAAGCGTTGGACAATTCTTTGCTTGCCAAATATATGCTTATGATTTAGTTTTAAAAATATTAATGTATGGATGAGATTTATTTAGGGAAGAATCACAAGCCATATTTTATAGTAGTATAGATTATTGATGCCTTTATGTTTCATGCCTCTCTTTACAACAGCCCTAACACCAATACCTGATTATTTATTAACTATTCACGAATTCTGCTTCCCAGCACTCCGAATACATAGCTTATTGCGAATAACTAATAATGTATGTAGCAAACTGATACGCCCTAGGGTTCCCAAGTTTGGGTTTGCCCTAATGCTCCTTCAAAGAAAAGATTTTTCCTCCAAATCAAGGAAAAAATCAACACAAGAGGGATGATATGAAGAACCAAAACCTTTGCATTCAAAATCCAAGGGAAAACAAGATACAATTTGTCCACTTCGAGAAGGACAAGGTCTCCCACTACAAACCCTAGAAAAACAAGAGAAAGAAACTAAGGAGGCTAAGAGAAAACTCAAATCTTGCATAACCCTAGAAATCCCCCCTTAATCCCTACTTATAGCAAGCAAAAAACCCAACCAAACCCACTAGTGGGCTGCCCAAACTTAACCGCCCAGCTCAGGCTAGACCTGAGCCTAACCGGTCCAGAAATGGACCGGTTCAACTCAAGCCGATCGGCCCCGTCCCGCTCCGCGTCCCCCTCCCGCGTCCCTGCTTCGGCAGATTGAACGGCGCGGCGCCCGTTCCGGCTGCTTCCGCGAGCCGCGGGGTAGCCGGCCCTCCCTCTCCCGGTCGGCGTCGGCGGTGGCCCGCATCACAAACATAAGGAAATATGATCACTTTCAGTACCTGCAGATACATATAGCTATTCATTTTAGATGTACCCTTCAAATTGGAAAGCCTCGTCCCCTCTCCAATTCATGCAATACTGCAGAAGACAAATTCAGCAATTCACATATTCATCACGACTATAATAACTTGAACTCATGAGTATAATATATGCATTATTCATAAGTTAATATAAAAAGCATATATATCTGTAATAGTCCATGTCAGGGGCGATAAGGAAGTTCACTATCCCATCAATGCATTGGCAAACTGTTTTCTTGTCGGTCATTGAGACTACTACCTCCTCCATGGATGTCTTCACAGAAAACAATCTCAGAAATGAGATGCTAAACACTTTCACCAAATCAAAGACTGGGTGAACAAGCCTAATACAGTTCAGCCATACAAATCCCATTACGATAGAAAATATTTAGGCATTTTATCAAACAATTGTAGAAAAAAAGTATAATCCTAATAAAGAGGTATGAGTAATTCTTCCCAAGAACGAAAAAAAAAAAAAACTAAATGAGCATTTAATACAATTTTTCATTCCTAAACACAAATCCAAAGAATACTCCACATATAGCAAATTTTAACACAAATAATTTCTTACAGTCGATAGTTGCCCAGAATCAACAAGAAAGCAGGATGTATGCCAAAAAAAGTTGCCCATAAGGAGAAGAAATGAGAAGGAAATGCCAAAAATTTTCAAGCTAACCTTTCTTTGAAGAAAATAGGAGGCATGCATAGTTTCAGCGGTGACTGCTGCAGATCCGGGCGATCACCAAGAGAAGTTCACTGTGTCAGCCGCCGCAGATTCCAACGATCGCACAAGAGGAGTTTCGAATAAGTTTGAGAATTCAGTTCCCAATAGAGCTTATATCTATACTACCATTAGTGCAATGAAATACAAAGGTTTGGGCGAATGTGCGATCACAATTTACTTTAAAAAAGAGGAATACAGAGCGTTGGGTAATCCATTGTTTGCCAAATGTACGCTTATGATTTAATTTTAAAAGTATTAATGTTTGGATGAGATTTACTTTGGAAAGAATCACAAGCCACACTTTATAGTGGTATAGTTGTTTGCTAGATATTTGACTTTTTTATTGAATGCTTAGTTTCATACATCAAATTTTTATGGGATTATAAGATTTACTAATTTTTTACTCCTATGTCCCTTTTCCATCTTAATTAACTAATTTTAACTAAAAAGCATGTCATAATTTATTCTCATTCTTTTGTATAATAGAGCCAAGGAATATTAACCTATCACAACTAGTTGTCACTTTGCCCTCTATTAACATTGACTTATTATTATAAATACACATCAACTAACATTACAAACGATACACTTTACTTTGTTTTGTTAGTTCAAAGCCCTTTCACCTTTATACATTTCTACATTGCTCAAACTTTTTATTTTAGTAGATTCCTTATTGATTGGAATATTATCATTTGCGAAAAGCATTCACCAAAAAACGATAACTTCAATATCCTTTATAAGTATGCCTATAGCTAATATAAAAAGAAATGTACAATAATGCTTATTTGTGATGCAACCTGAAGTCCCGAAGTGTGTATAGCTGTTGACATACTAAAATAGTTATATAGTTAAATCAATTAAATTTGATCTCGATTAAATCTAGTTGAAGGGCGGACTTGGGGTGGGGCTTAGGATTAACCCTACTCCAATACCATATTAGAGAAAAGATCTTGGTTGATTTCCCTATAGCAGTAGTATCTATATAAGTAAATACTATGTGTAGAATGAGAAAGAAATAATAATGTTAATATTCTCTGTTAAGTAATTACTAACGTAATCTTCTAAATCTCTTTTACAACAAGCTTTATCTCTTCTGTCATCAGATCCAGCAGAAATTGACCCACGCCCAAATTATGCATTGTAGCATATTGTTTGAAGAGAAATTTGGCTAATGAAATCAAATGATCTCTGAAGTTTTTCATTATTTTATTTTTATTCATCATCTATGTTGAGATTATATATATATATAATATGATTCTTTTGTGGCATTAATCTTGCATTGCTTACATCAATCCTCCGCCCTCCAACCCCACATTCATTGTAGCCAGTGTTAAGTCGGTTCCCAATAACCGACTCAAACCGGCCCAGCAAGGGCTAGTCCATGTTTACAAGAGGCGGGCCTTTGCCGCCTCTTCCCTAGCCGCCTAAGGGGGTGGGGTCCACTCCTTTGACCGCCATTATTTTTTTTTTTAAAATAAGTTATTTTTAGTAAGAAGGGGCGGCGATTAAGGCTATATATAAATATGGATAAGAGGGGGAGGGTTATGACATGCTTTGTGATTGTATCTCTTGGAGTCTCTTGAGGAGTTTTGGGCTCTAGACTTATTTTCTAGAGATTGTGAGAGTACGATCCTCCTCTCGAATAGATGATCAATTGTATCTTTGCTTTATGTCTTGTTTGTTTCGTTCCATATAATATAAATTCCTGTTTTGAGTTTATTTTGTGTATTTTCTCGCTGTTTTTACCAATTTATCGTTAGGGTTGCTTGCGAACTCAATTATTTCCGATAGGATTACTTGAGAACTCAAGTATTTCCTATCACAGTGGTATTCCCTTTAATTGGCTGATTGCAGAATGAAAGTATATGCTATGGTCCCCTCATTATTTGTCCTGTACGCCTAGTTCTTGTCATAACGTTTTCCAATTTGTTGTACTACCATGCGCAGAAACACCAGATAAAATACGTAGCAGTCTTTAAGTTACATCTGCGGACCTTCGAACTCTACTGCTGATGTTCCTTGTAGATACTTCAGATCTGGAATTCTGTGGTGGTGGTTGACAATGCCGCATGCAAGCTGTGCTGCTGCCACATCACATGGATGGCAGCAATGCTACCCCTTTTAATTCTTATAAGATTTCTTTTTTTATTTTTATTTTTATTGCTGGTCAGGATTTGTAAAATTTCTTTATTTTTTTATGGTCGTTGGCAATGTATGTTGCTGGAAAGCAAATAAACTTAGGGATGTGCATTTAACTGATTCCAAATTTATAAGCTCCAATGGTTAGATTGTTTTCTTTATTATATGAAATTAGTAGTTCTAATCATAAAAATTCTCTTTGTTGCGTAAGAGTAAGGCTGTCTTCATTAATTTTAGAATGAGAAAAAGATTAAAATGGTCGCGTGACTGTTTACACAGGATCAAAATGATTCACAACTATATTGAATGGTCGTTTTGATCCCTCGAGTTTTTAAAAATGAATCAAAATAATCCATGATGTGATTATTTTGATTCTGTAAATAGTTGAAGGATCAAAATGATCTTTTCATATAGTTGGTGATTATTTTGATATCTTATAAAGAGTCTAAAAATCATTTTAAATTCTTTTTCTCATTTTATAATTTTTTTGATCTTTTATTGCTCGTAATTATTTGTTAGCTGTTATCTTAGTAATGCAGTTGATATCTCTTTGAGTTTGTTTTAGGCTTATGGAAGTAGAATTCTTGCCTTTAGGTAATGCTTCGTTTGAGATAATTTTTTATTGTTTTCTAAAACAGCTTTTTAATATAAAATTGAATTAAAAAATTTTATACTAAAAAATTGTTTTAGGAAGCAGCACGAAAATTATCCCAAACGAAGCTCAAGTGCGGTTGACATTAGTGATGCTAATAGAGGACTTACATTTTCAACGAATTATGGAATAGTTGTATGGCACTTGATGAAGTGAAGCAGACTGCCATTGATGATTGCAAATTCCTATTTCTGCGTTAGCACAATGGCAAGATGCATTAGCTTTGGCTATCTTTTTGACTCATTGACATCTATGCAAGTGAATTAGTACGCATTGCCGGGAAATTTCATGAGGCCAGTAAATCAGTGCTTTACAAATAAATCAAGCACCTTCATTAATGAAAATATAAAGTTCCTTCATTAATATTTTATTGGGTTTTCTTAGGAAATGAAATTAATTGTTCCTGGATTCATTTAATAGAAATTGAATGGTGATATGTTGTTCTTGTTATGATTTGTAAGAGTAAAAAATTTGTTATTTCTATTTTTAATCATGTTTTTGTTGATAATTGTCTCTCATTCGACTAGTGTTTATAATTTCATTTTTTAACAACTCAAGTAAAAATATAATTTTGTTTGATAATGTTTGACTTGATAGTAGATTATAATTGTATGTGGGCTCCAGAAAAGTTGAGTTTTACGGCTTGATTTATTCGTGTTTGTTCATGGGGAATATTAACTGATTATGTTTCGAAGAAAATTTTAGATTGTCAGATAAGATTATGATAAGAGTTTTCACTCTCTTAGCAATGACTTTAAGAATTGAGTTATGCTTTTCTGTAGGCGCAATCCATTATAATTAATTACCTCTATCGATAATAAGAGAATGCTTTCGATTGAGGTTATTCATTAAACAAATACTTAGTATCTAAAATATAGTAGTTTGGAGACATTTAAAAGATGGGGGGGGGGGGGGGGGGAAAAGTGGAAACCTGCAATAATGATAAACCCGATCAATATCTCAAGTTTCGTTGTCTCAGGTCATCATGGTTCATAGTCTACTTAGCCAGAGGGGATAGTTAATATAACATGACCAAAAGATTCTTGTCGTCAGCCGTCAGTTGCTATGTGCAAGGGTGCCTTGTAAACTTGGTGTGAGTGTTTGTTTGAAGGACTAATTCATGACGACCATAGTTTAGAGAGGGTTTTGTGCCCTATCAATTGTACCATATAATTAATTACTCAATAGTAACTAGCTATTGAGGAACAAATAAGCTTTCAGCTATGACCGTAATATAGTGGAGTCATTTGGCCAAGCTACTAGGTTAGAGAGCCGCAATTATAATTGTTTATCACAAGGAGCCATTATGGCCAAACCACTAGTTTTTTGTGGGCCCATCTGACCAAGCTCGATTAGAGGACCAGTCATAACCATTTTCTGTGTAGATCTGTCTGGCCACGCTACGGGCTATGATGCATAGACACAGACACGGCGACACAGATACGACACGACACAGACACGAGACACGTCAGTTATTGAAAATATATGACACGGACGTAGGTTGGACACGGTATTATAGTTTTTATATTTAAAAAATAGTGTATAAAAATTTAAAAATTATAATTTTAAAAATAATTTGAAAATAATAAGTCATTTAAATAGAATTTGTGTTTAAAATTTTTAGTATTAGGATGTCGAAATTCAGGCGTCAATATCTTTTATCAGTCATTGAGAGAGGAGATGAAAATACCTTCACTGCAAAAAAGAAATGAAAATGAGAATATTCAATAATTGGGTATTAAGTGCGGACGTTGATTTGGTGTTGTGGATAGGAAATAATAAATTTAGTTTAAATACTGCCAAATATAAGAAATTATATTTAAAAAAATTCATAAAATATTTAAGATACGCGTGTCAGACATGTGTGTCTAATTTGTATTTAATTTTTTTAATCGGACACGTTTTCAGCGTGTCCGACATGTGTCGGATGAGTGTCGGGTGAGTGTTGTGCACGCCTCTTTGAGGAGAAGTATCGGTGCATCATAGGCTACGGGTTTTGTGGAGTCCGCCAAGCTACCGATTAGAGGAGAAATGTCACTTTCTTATTGATAATATATTATTTGATAATTAATCTTAGTGATATTCTCGATTTAGAGATCCACTCTTTACAAGCTAGAGTTATTCTTGAGTTTTTTTATCCTAGTCAAATGACTAAGGAGGGTGGATGGATTTTGTTTTAAGTTTTAAGTATTTAATTTCAATTTTAAATATTAATAATTTGACATTTATTGAGTTTTAGAGCTTGATATTTTGAAATTAATCATTCCGGTTGATATTATCTTTCAACACAGCCATCATCGAGATAATGCTAGAATTACTTGAAAATGATTGATATTTCATAGGAGTTTGGAGACATTTAAAAGATAGGGTCTTCTTTGGTTGAGATTTACTTTTAATATGGTCATCATTAGGTGATATTGAAGTCATTCTAAAAAAATTGTATTTCATAGCAATTTGGAGACATTTAAAGGTATAGTCCCCTCATGCTATTTTTTTATTTTTTTTTTTAATTTTTTTTCCCTAAGGTAAATTTAGCTTTCAACACGACCATCACTAGGGTTTTATGTAATTGGTCATTTAAAACTTGTCAACTCTGTTTGCATGCTAACAAAGGATTGTGTTCGATTATGGGCCTCATTAGTTATCATATGAACACTAAGAATCAAGAGCTTATGATAAGTTTTGCAGAAAGTATCTTTAAAGGCTAAACATGAACTAAAATTAAATGTCTCGGTTGACATGTTATTAGAGGTTCATTTGATTATTCAAGTCATGTCGACTCTAGTCCTTTCAAGGAGGAGGATAAAAGTTGAATATTTGATAATATGTGACTGTTTGAGCACATGCGGGTATTTAGTTTGAAGATAGGATTTTAAATTGGTGAGCTTTTAAACCCATCACAACATTCTCAAACCTTGGCATATAAGCATTTAGCATATTTGCTAGGGCATATGCGGGGAGTTAATTTTTCTTTTAAATTAATATGCACACTTTTCATACGTTCATGTGATGCACTTGCACGTATTTTGATGCATTTGCATAATGTGTTCACATGCTTTTTTAATGTAGTACACTCATTAGGTTGTTGCATACTTCTCGAGTTAGTTACTCACTTATGGAGATGTAGCTGTAATAGCATATATTTAACAATTAAATAATATTTCAGGAGTTATTATAAATTCAATTTACAAACTATCTTCGCCACAATACATATCTTTCAACATACTTGATGAAAATTTATGAAATTTAAAACACAGCTAGAGAGAGATGCAATCTAACAATGCATGGAGTTTGAAGGCTCCATGCATTGTATATTTTATGCAGTTTCAAATTTGATTTCTACCTAAGAGTGAGGAAATCTTACAAACTAGTAGGTGAATTTTTGCAATCTCTGTCTCCTTTTTCTCCTGTTGATGTCCTTTACATGTTTGCTGAAGACTCCAGAGGATATTGACGACTAGATTTGAAGATATCCAAGAGAGATAATGTTTCTCTCTTTTCCCTCCCTTTCTCAACTAAAATGATGATTTTAATGGTGAAAGTGGGGGAAGGCTTGGAATGGTCTTAGGGAGTGCTTGAGAGTGTGGGAAGCTCTCATGAAGATGGGAGACTAGGGAGAGTGAAAGAGTGCATGAGTTTGAATGATGATAAAAAATGAGCTTTTGCCCTATTCAAATCTCATGGATCAAATTGGATGGCCCTGTTGTTTCAGAGGCCTCCCCTAGATGCCTTATAAATGTCCCATGCCTCTGGAATAACAGGGGAAAGGCTGGGTTTGATTAGCATTTTATTGGTGGCTTTGGGCTTAAGGAAGGGGACCACTCCTCTTTTATGTTAAACCAGAGCCTGGGCCTAGTTTAGAGGTTGATTATAGAGCTTTATCTCTAATTTGGAAACCCTAACCAGCTGGCTTTGAAAGGAACTTGCCTAGGCTAGGAGAGTTGGCCATTTGAATGGGTTTTGATGGTTTGTTGACCAGTTTGACTGGTCAACAATCAACTTGACTGCCTATGTGACATAGAAGGGAGATATTGAGCTGATTGGCTGGACTTCAAAGCTTTGGAGCAATGCATTTGAGATTCAAATGAGTATTTAACCATTTGGTGGCTTTGACCAAATACTTAAGGATTGACTTGGTCAAAGTCATTTCATTTTGACTCACCCATGGATGGGATGTATCCAAGGCATGAGATGGAGTGGAATTGAAGGTTTGAAGGATTTGATTGGATTAACCTTGATTGAATTAAGTGATTTGATCCAAAGGGGTTGAATTTGACCAAACTTTGACTTGGTTGACCAAGTCAACCGTTGGATAGGGCAACTTGTTCGGTCAAGTTCATATCACTGGGAGAGGTGTTCATATAGTTTGACCGAGTTCAGAGTTTGTTTGGGATTGAATTTATTGAATATGGGTCTTATAGTTGATTGGGTCAACTTGAGCTGGCTTGATCAACTAGGTTGACCCAATGGAAGGGGTTGGACCTAACGAGTTTGAAATGGCATTTTGAGT